GCAAAGCACTATATCAAGATTTGCCTGTAGAATAATATGTGAACGGAATCCCCCTTTCACAGCACGGATTTATGCTGCAGGATTTGATTCGTCAAAAAACATCTTTCTTGGGGTAAGATGCTATTCTTTCTTTCTTTTTAACCATTTGTTGGCATTTTAATGAGCCCCCAGTCCTATGGCTTCAAGCCACAGAGACACCTCTCCAATACCCTTAATCTTTTCCTCAGCTGTTCTGTGAAGAATTTGGCCTTGGTGATGACAGGCTGCTTTGGGAGCTTTCCCTTCCCAAGTACTTTGTAGTGGCCCAGTCAAATTACATCAATGATGGGAGCCACTCCAGTCTTGTTTTTGGCAGCATTTACTCGTGTTTCTCACTGACCATTGTCCACAGTTTATCAAGGTTGACAGTTGGGCAGAAGCTCTGATTTCTCTTTAAGTGGTAATACCTCATACCAGCCTTCCCAAAGTAACCTGGGTGATACTTACTGAAGTTGATCCTGTGGTAATGCACGCCTCCAGCGTTACCCCGACCTCCCTCCCGGGTGCTTCCTGTGCTTGGGGATGCAGCCATGGCCGTGGCTCACGTGGCCCGGAAGCTTCAGGTCTTCCTTAAGTCTGGATGGCATGTCAGCAACCAAGACAAAAGATGATGCTTTTTTTTTTCTAAACGATACATTCTTTTGTACTAGTTTCTATTTCCAAATTACAAATAAATGGAGGCTCACTGTTGTTCTTTCTGTAGGAAAAGGCTGCCAAATGGAAGACACCTGATGGGCAGATGGACGGCTTGACCACTAATGGTGTTCTTGTGATGCATCCACGCAATGGGTTCACAGAAGACTCTAAACCTGGAATATGGAGAGAAATATCAGTGTGTGGAAATGTATTCAGCCTTCGTGAAACCAGATCAGCCCAGCAAAGAGGAAAAATGGTAAGTAATGAGTGGGAGCTTTTTGTGTAGCTACTGTGAACACATAGAATGAGTTCAACTAAATAAATTGTAAATATTTTTGAAGCTGACATGGTGGCGTATGCCTGTAACCCCAGCACTTGGGAGGCTAAGGCAGGAGCATTACTATGAGTTCAAGACCAGCCTGGGCTACAAATTGAGTTCAAAGTCAGCCTGAACTGCATAGTGAGATACTGTCTCAAAAAATCCAAATAAATAAAAATGAAAAATTTTGAGAAACTCCTGAATCTATTACCAACACAAACAACTAAGATCAAGCATGAACTGTCAAGCACTGATTACCAAGTATACTAGAAGATAAAATTTATTCATTTGTCCTCTTATGCTAATACATTTTAAAACCTTAGTTATCCTAGATTAAACAGCACTTTGACCTTTCTACTTCTAATTTTGATCTAAATATCTTTGACTGTATTTACCTAGTTAAAAATTTTAGGCTGTTGCTTAGCCAGATTTTTTAACATAAACTATCTGTAAGGCTAAAAAGAGAGCTATTTGCAGTGCATAGTGCTTATATTCTGAGTGGAGTTGCTGCGTATTCATGACACGTCCTTATTCCTTCTCCTCCTCTCCCGCACTTTCCCTCTATATCATAGTCCCCTTCCTTTGCCTTTTATTTTGGTCTTTATTTATAATTTGAGTTTCTCATATAAAAGAACCCATGCAATATTTAAGTTTATGTGTCTGATTTATTTTACTTAACACTGTTCTCCAGGTGCATCCATTTTGCAAACACATAATAAAAATAAAGAAAAGTTAATATATTATGAAGTATGATAAAAATATACGGTGAATGTTTAAATTTTTAAAAAGTTATTATAGTAAATGACACGTTACTATTCTTCCTTTTATAATACTCCCCCTCACTAAAAACACACTTACCCCATCATTCTTGCTACTTTCTGAGGCAATTCTGAAATCCCTCTTTCACAAATGCCTTTATGAGGTATGATCAAAAATGCAGTGAATGCTGCTGCTGAGTGCCGTGCAGTGGAGAGGAAAGGCAGGTTTGTGAAAACATTATGGTATGCTGTCATCCACTGAGTCTGGCATTGTGGGCCTTCTGGCTCTTGCCCAAAGTCAAAATTAGCATGAAGGGTGGATGTCCTAAATCAGTTTAGGACATCAAGGGAGTCACAATAGCATAACTAAAGTTAGTTTACAAAACGGGACTTCTAGAACTGCTTCAGAAAGTGGCAGAAACAGTGGGGTAAGTGTTCAAGGTAGGGAGTAGAGGGCTTGGTGTGTCTTGAGAGTGATTATTAGTGCACTGTAATACATTTTTAAAAATCTAAATGTTCACCATATATTTCAGTCTCACTGCATATTGTTCAGTATTTTAAACTTGATTCTCAAACTTATATTTGACTAACTGCAATTTGAGTTTCTTATTTAGTGAATAATCCTAGAAAAACCTCATTTCTTGAGTAAGGAATCTCAAGTCCTTATGTGACCAAAGGTCTTAATGTGAAAATCCAAAACATGTAGTAACTATGTTTTTTGTGTGATTTTGGCTCCTCTAGGTGGAAATTGAAACCAATCAGTTACAAGATGGCTCATTAATTGACCTCTGCGGTGCAACATTGCTCTGGCGTACTGCAGAAGGCCTTTCCCACACTCCAACCGTGAAGCATTTAGAAGCTTTAAGACAGGAAATTAATGCAGCAAGACCTCAGTGCCCTGTAGGGTTCAACACACTAGCATTTCCCAGTATGAAGAGGAAAGATGTTGTAGATGAAAAACAACCATGGGTGTATCTAAACTGCGGCCATGTACATGGCTATCATAACTGGGGAAACAAAGAAGAATGTGATGGAAAAGATCGTGAATGTCCAATGTGTAGATCCGTTGGTCCATATGTCCCTCTGTGGCTCGGATGTGAAGCTGGATTTTATGTGGACGCCGGCCCTCCAACCCATGCATTTAGCCCTTGTGGGCACGTGTGTTCAGAGAAGACAACAGCCTATTGGTCCCAGATCCCGCTTCCTCACGGTACTCATACTTTTCACGCAGCCTGTCCCTTTTGTGCACATCAGTTGGCTGGTGAACAAGGATACATCAGACTGATTTTCCAAGGACCACTAGACTAATAAACAGTTGTCCTCTGGGACTATATTATAAATTTATAAGCTAAGTGAGTTTGGTTTTCCAACCTGTTATCCACATTACAGTTTCTCTGCTCTGGTTATTTGCATTAAGATGAAGAACTTTTTTAAACATTTATAATAAATAATAGCAATTTCTGAGCAAAAATCTAGGAAATTCAAGTAAATGAATTTTTGAAAGTATGAGACTTCTGAATTCTGAGTTTTTGAAAATATATTTTGAGGAGAAAAAGACATAGTCTAATTTGATGCCTTCATTTTAGTGTTTTTGAATCACCCAGCCTCAGTGTTAAGAAATTGTTTTGTATAACTGAGGATACTGTTGGTTCAAACTATGTTAGTTTACAGTTTGTTGCAAACATTGTAAAATACAGCAACATGTATATTAACTTTTATTCTGTTTATTTTAGAAAATGTAGAATGTCTTGATAGAGTAGCATGGTAATGATGGTGTCACACCTTTGGTGTGATTGGTAGCTTAGTGAGTGCATAGCTCAAGGATTTGTCAAGTTAGAAGGACAAGAAAGTTTTTCCCACCCCCATCTAAGTGTAGAATTTGGTAAATTAAAATACTATAAAACCAAATTCACATTACCATTGTGTAAGAGGTGTTTGTTTTTAACTACATTGAAGATAATCAGGAAAGATTTTTTTCCTTAATGTTTCTCTCAAATGTAGTACTATAACAAAACTTAATGCTAAGAAACATTTTATATACTCCTTTGAATATGCAATTTAATCTAGATTATCTATTTTTCTCCCATGATAACTAATCTTTTTTTAGTATCAATAACATTTGGCAAGTTTATTTTTTGGGTATGAACTGGTTCTTCTATTCACTTTCTAGAAAAAAAAAGCATAAATTAACAAGAAAAGGATATAAATTGATTTGCTGTTAGAAAAAGAAACGCTTAATTATTCTGTATGTGGTTTTATCCAAGCATTAGAAAATGTAGAAGTATCAAGGACTGAATGACAATAGTACTCCCCTTTTTTAACCCAGCAGATCAGCCTTAACTGTGGGCTTGAATATTAAGGAGTGTTAACCACAGTGTGACTCAAGTAAAGGTGTGGTTGGTGCACAAGCACCAGTGAATGACAGCAGAGGGGAGGGACACACTTGAAAGATCTGTTATGTTCTACTCCAGTAAGTCCTCTGCTTTCAGAAGCAAAAAAAAGTTTATTCTCCTCAAACCGCTCTTTCAAATGCTCCACAAGGAAAGTACAGTCCATTGCACTACATCAACCCCTTTTTGATACTTGTAGAAATCAGTATACTTTCAAATTAAACAGGATCATGTTTTTAGTCTTTTGATTCCTTTGAAAAGTGTATGATACTTAATTGACAGCAGATTTTTGTATGTGGTAGCATAGCTTTAATTTATCATATTACATCACTGTTCTGAATTTTAAAAAAACTTTTTGTTTAAAAAAAAACTTTGTCACTTAGAAGCCATGACCTATTTTATTTTACTTTGTCAAAATTCCTTGTTTTAAAAAATGATCGTTTGGGTTCACTCAGGAAGTGCATGTCAGGAAGCTTGTATTATAAGTTTTTTAGTTGTGATGTATCAGTAACTGCTGTTACCCCTTTTTCAAAAAAATAGAATTGATTTCGAAGTTTTCTAGATTGTCACACGCTTTGTGACTAATGCAAGGAAATCAAGTCCTGTGTTGTATTTGTTCTAATTATTTCTATTCAGGCTATATATTGTAGCTTAATTTTTATTTGCAATTAATTTATTCAAACTAAGTAAATACTTTTCAAAATAGATATTTGAGTTTGTCTCTGTGAGTTCCTTTTTGTATAGCAAGAGTTGGCCACCAGAAGTGAAAACTAGACAAATCTACTCTATATTTTAAGAATACTCCTTTGAAATAGATGTGGAGTTTACACTTAATGTTTGTTTGTTGTTTATTTGTTTTGGTGATGCTGGGACTGGAACCCAGGGCCTCTCGCATGCTAGGCAGGCACTCTGCCACTGAGCTACACCACTAGTCTTGGTTGCTTTTATTAGTACATATATCATGTTTCATTCCTTGTGTGGTGCTGGTACTTGGACATAACATCTGTAGTCCTTTTTCAGTCCTCTTCGCTGCCTCCTCCCATCTCCACTCATTTCTTCATCTCCTTCCTTCCTTTTTTTTTTGGTACATACAATACAACAATCCCAATTCCTTTTTTTCATCTCTTATTCTTCCTCCTTCACTTGTGAGAAGAATTTATCTCCCTGCTTCCTATTATTTGTTTTATTTTGCTCTTTATTTTGCTCTGAGATAAAAATAAAGGATCTTGCTAAATTGCCTAGATTGTCCTCAAGCTTGTGGTCTTCCAGCCTCCCAGGTGGCTGCAATTGCTGGAACGTGCCACCATCCAGGCAAGGTAACACTTGAAAGTTTCTGGTTCTCTTTGCAAATAACCTCTTATTTATTAATAAAGAAACTTAGTGGTTAAGAATTGAAGCCCTTCTCTTGTGAGTCCTTGGAGAGTTAGTTCTTTGTAATAAGTACTTCAATGATTATAAAGTTTCATGTTCTTCCTAAAGCATCTGAATTTTCCTTTGGCAGTTGAGAATATATCTGGTTCACTTGCTATCAAATTCAAGTTTTAATAACTTAGGCAGTGTAAGTCACTAGGTGTTTCTGTTCAAGCATTCTGAATGTCAGTTTTGTCTTTTTGCCAGTGACTAATAGAACACTTTTATTTATGCATTTGTATTAAAGTAATATCAGTATTTTAAATCTTTTAAATGCATTCTCAAGAAAGAGAATCTTTTTTTTTTTTTTTTTTTTTTTTTTTTTTTGGTCTTTTTCCTTTTTATCGGTACTGGAGATCGAACTCAGGACTGCCTGCTTGCAAGGCAGGCGCTTATGCCACTGAGCTAAATCCCCAGCCCCAAGAAGAAGAATCTTTATGGTTTAACTTTGTTTAAAAATGGTTTAACTCTTACCAAAATAATTTCATATTTAAAAGTTGTATTAATTTGCATAGGAAATTCAGAGTTGCCTTTCAGCTAATGTATTAGTCATAAAACATGAAGGGCAGACATTCAATCTTTTTACCAGGTTATCTTTTTTAAGCTGTAATTCATATAAAAATCTTCCAGTACATGTAAAGCAAGATAGAAACAAATGATAATGAAAATCTATAACATCTAATACTTGAGTATCTCTGCTACACTCTTCCCTCAAGAAACTTCAAGGACCAAGAGTGACCCATGACCTGACACAGACTGAGTAAAGGCACCAATAGAAATCCATCCATTATTCCGTTAAAAGTATAAGGTAAATAATTCTAACACTTTGACCCTTCATTCCAGTGTATCGTGTGCTGTGCTACTTCAAAAGCTAGCAGAAATGCTAGTTAATCTGCAATGCATCCCTTTCTGTATGCTCCTAAGCATTAACCCTGTAGTAAATCAAATGATCAAAAGTACATAATTGAACTATATCTAACACCCCCATTTTTGGAATTATTTATATAAAGTGTACTTTAAAAACTTGCCTTCCAATTGTATCTGTTTATTCATATAATAGGATACTGTGCACCAAATCTTGCTGGGTGATATACCAGGAAGATGCCTACTTTGATGTGATTTGTATTGTAATGAGGAAGATAGAAATGAGTAAGAAAAATAAATATTACAGCACGATAGGTGGCAAGAGTGCCGATGGACACGTGGAAAAGGAAGGAAGGGGCACGTGTGTGTTGGGGGTGTAGTGTTTATCAAATGGGAGGGCCTGCGAGAGTGGGGTTTGAGTAAAGATTTGAAGGAGCTGAAGGGTAGCGTTGCCCAGGAGAAGAGCTTTTAGGCAAAAGAAAGTCATCACAAGGACCTTGAAATGGAAGCCTGCCCAGAATACTTCTGTAAGAACAAAGAAGTCAGTGTGGCAAGGAGGTATGAAAAACGGGAAGAGTCGTAAAGTTAAAATGACAGAAAGGGGCGATTTGGGATGAAATGGGATTATGAAAGGCCGTCCGGGACTTGAGACTTGTGTTCGGAGTGGTTGGGAGACTGGAGAGTTTTGAACGTGGAATGACCTGCTCTCACTGCTGGCTGAATAAACTCCAGACCGAAGGTGAGAACTGGAGGACTTGCAGTAATCCTGGAGAGAAAAGACAGTGGCTGGCAGGAGGGTGATGGGACCGAGATGGTTTGAGAAGAGATCAGATTTGGGGTATTTTTTGCAGACGACTGACATTTGCTAGCAGATTAGAACAGTGATTCCACCCAGGTATCACGGCATAGCTCTGGCACGGCACAAAGCCCAGAGTTCAGTTAATGGCGTGTGTGCACAGACACACACACACACACACACACACAGACTTGGTTCATTCAGTCAGTTTCAGCAGCTGGAAGAGTAGAATTAATAAGGCTACAGGCGTGCTGATGGTGGAAATGGGAACATGAGGTGGAGCTCCTTTTACACAAGATTTTTGCCAAATATGAAATGTCCATTTTTCTAAACTACTGAAGTTCCCAGTTACTACGATTATGATCAGTGTCCTCTATACACCCTGTGCTAGTTTAGAAACAAATCAACAAAGCGTTCCTCTGGGTTAATGGAGGACTTCCTTTCATTGAAATAGAATTTGGACAACTCATGTTTCTGTCTTTGCTTTGGCTACTCTGAGGAAATGAAATTCTGTTTTCAACTGCAGTAACTTCCTGTAACAAGTATTCTGACAGTTTTTCTTCCTTCTCACTCATGTACACTTTTTTACTTGGCTCTTGTCTTTTTAAATAAAATCTCCCCAGTTTTCAGTATGTGACTGCTTCAGATCCCTTTTGCAGTGGTAAGAATACAAAGGTCTTTTTATATTCAAGTGCTTATAAAAAATTCTTTTGAAAGTTTTATAAATGCAGCTTTTAATATCCACTTGACTTAAGAAACCATGCCTCTACTTGATAATTGTCAACAGCAAAAGGAGTAGCAAATAAGATCAAAAGAGTTTTCCTAGTAATTGTCATAAAGCATCATATCCAACATTGTGTTAGATGATGTGGTGAAAACGTTAGATTCTTTAGGTCCACATTAGATTGTAAGCCCTGCTATGTAGGTCAAAATTAACAGCTAAATTCATCACAGCTAACACTTGTTTGCTCTGTGTCAGGTACTGTTCTATGTACCACACTAACAATATTAGAGATACTTAAAAATTCTTAGGAGGTAAGGAATGACTATCTCCATTTTGCAGTGAAGACCAGCCATAGCAATATAAGTCGCCCAAGTTTCACGCAGTTTGTGATGGAAGGACTTAGAATTTGAAGTTTGAAAGTCTTGTCTTATTTGTGTGTACAAAGCCACTGTATTTTCTACTTCTCTCGTGTTAGTGTCGGAATGCACCGAACGGATTCTTTTGTAAGCCGGTAAATAAATAACGTGTATACATGATACTTCCTGAGCCACCTGGTAGATGCTCAGGAACTATTCCTTGGATGATGAAAGGAAACTGAGAACTCAAGTTTTAAGCTACCAAAACAGTCTCCAAATGGGTACATTAGCGAAAAGACAAAAGAATGATTACAAGTTTTTGATCAGAAAATACATTTACCTAGGCTGAAAAAGACAAGAAAAAAGGAGATACTACACAAATGGCACTAATGAAGTTTGATGGACAGTGAGAAGAAAACCATGGATAGTGCCAGAAGAGACACAAAGGGTTATTGTGTAGTGAAGAAATACCAGTCATAGTCAAAACACTTGTCATCAGACATTTAATTTTTTAAGAACCTATTACTGATAAGGAAAGACATGGAAGGCATCCCGTATTGAAAACAAAACTTAAGATTAGATGTTCCTGAAATTGGACAATACAGTATTATTGTAAAATTTTTGATTTTTTAAAATTAGAATATAAATTCAGGAGGTCTTGGCAATCAAGTTACAGATGAGAAAACCAAACCCTAGTTAGGTAATATGATTATTGATAGATATGATATTCCAATTTCAACCCTCTGTGTCTGTCTTCATTCCCTTGACTGTGTAAGTTAAGTCACTAAGACAGATGTATTATTATTATCATTATTTGGTACCAGGGATTGAACTCACAGCTTCATGCTTGCCAGGCAGGCACTTGTGCCACAGAGCTAAATCCCCAGCCATGTTTTGATTATTGAAGCAGAGGCAAGTAGCTTTTATTTTTAAATTACAAGTCTGCAGAATTAAAGTAATCTGTTATAGAAATAATGATTCCAATTTAGGGGATGGTCTGTTTCAGATTTCATTATTCCTGGTCTAGAAATGAAAGAGTGGAGAGGATCAAGAGTATTGCTAGGTGCAGCGACACGCCCATGTAGTTCCAGCTGTGAAAACTGTTTGAGGCCAAAAATTCAAGGGCATGCTGGGTAGAAATACCCCAGCACTGTCTACAGCCCTCTGGGATTTTACACAAATCTGTGATGAACCTCTCAGCAAATGTGAGTGCTCACTAACACAGCTCTTGTTTTATTTTTCTATTTCTGGTGAAATAGTTATTTCAGATACCACATATGCAGAAATTTCAAACATTTAGAGGCTCTTCAATTTCACTTGGCTTTGTCAGGTTCTTTTTTGAAAATCAGTTACTTGGGTGGTAATGAATGACCTAAAATGTAATAATGACTATATTGTCAAACAGTTAAAATTTTTCTCAGTCACAATAGAGTTGAACAATAGTAATCTGAACTTCACATGGCCAGAAAGTTGTCCAAACCTTGAATCATGATGCTCAAATCCCTATGTAGGGAGCAAAGTTGAATAAGACCAGGTATACAGGGGCAAGTCAGATGGTGGCACAGGCCATCAGGTATGTGTGTAGTACCTAGGAGGTCCCAAAGCAACAAATGGCTTAGGGGGTAGCTGAGGAGGGGTAGTAAGAATTCCCCACTGATAAATGTTAGGATAGATGAGTATTCCAAACTTGAGTTTGCATGGCAGTTGGAGAGGACAAGCAGTTTCTTGGAGAGAGGTCCAAGAAGCATACAGATTTTTTAAATACACACACACACACACA